GAGTTTGGGATTCAGGCTTTGGTTTTTCGTCTTGGGTTTAGGGCTTCGGGCTCATAGGGGTGTGGAGAATCTGTGAAAGAACCTACAAATTGAACCGTGCTTCTTAAGTTTCAAACTTGTGCCGGTGCTCTTGGGCTCTTTTGGCCTCTTCTGGGCTCTTCCTGGGGCTCTTCCTGGGGCTCTTCCTGGGCTCTGCTGCGCTCTCCTGGGCTCGTGTGGGCTCTCCTGGACTCTTGTTGCTGGGCTCTTCCTGTTTTTGCTGGGCCCTTCCTGGGCTCTTCGGCTCTTCAACAACCTGCGCTGGCGCACTTATCGGCGCAAGCCGTCTAACATTTTGGGTTCAGGGTTTGGGGTTATAGGGATATGAAGTTCAGGTGCAGGGGGTTTGCGTGCGGCACATTGGCTTCGCATAGGGCTTAGAGCTTGATACCTATCAGGGTTTAAGGTTTCAGGCTTCAGAACGACCCTAAAGAAAACGCAAGCCCGCTGATCTTCGAGAAACATCAGCAAACCCAAGGCGCCAGGACGTATGCTGCAGCTTGACGCCCTTCATCGATGCGGTTGCGCAAGGGTGGCGGAGATTCTGACAACCTTGGGTGCCGCAGTACGGTTTGGGTCGGTGTGGAGTTGTGTTTAAGCCTCGAGGGCTTGTGTGCACTGTAGCCCGTCAACCCCCCATCGCGAAAGCAGTCTAATCCCCCCTACCAGAGATTTAAATTTTGACAAGCTCTAGTGACCTAAATCGTTGTCCCCAAGACCCTGACGCGCGACAAGAACCCAAAGCATGGAATCCTGAAGCCGAAAACCCTCAAACTCCCAAGAAACCTGAAGCCTAGCAGAAAGGGCTACCCTGAGGCCTGCTCTCAAGCCTAGCCTTTACTGTAGGCCGTGCGAAGAGACTCTTCCCAAAGGGCGTGCCTAGAGGCTGAGATGAGGCATCTGCCTTCGAGATTCGCAGGTCTTGGAGACCGGGAGTTTAAGGTGAAGCCGAAGCCATATTACATAAACCTAACGCGAAGGGCTCACAGGACCCAATAAATCAGGATAGCAGTAATGTAAGATTGAGTATTTGGGAAGTACAGATCATGGTTAGGTATTTGGACCCTTCGGGTAACTGCTAAACATCCGAAGATGCGGGGTTTACAGGAATCCAAGGGATGTAGCGTTTTGGGTCTAAGGTCTCGGTAGTTGTTCTGATTGTGCACCTCTCTCGCTCGGGGGGCATGTAGATCGTGCTTGGAAGGTTGAGGGACTTGGTAGGTGGTCATTTTGTAGAGGTATAAGTATCAGTGTATCAGAACCCCAATTAGGAACCCCTTTGGCAGCTTTGGTCTCCCAGGGCTGGGTATCAGGGTTGACTGTGCGTACAGCTGCAGCGAGGGAGACGACCTCATTTTGGTTCGGGGTTTAGGTTTGGGGTTTAGGGTTGGGTCGAATATCGATGCTTCAAAACCATCATGGATCGGTTCAGGGCACATACGGGTTTCGGCTGCTTAAGCAGGCAAAAAGCCAGTCCCCCACAAAGACGGCACGGTGCATCTGAAAATAAGCTGCGCAGACGCACGCTGCATGCCCTGAACACTCGACCGTACTCCCCCAAAGTCTACACACGATAGGAGCTAAAGGGGGCTTCGAACAATTCTTGAAGTTCAAGTGCTTTAGAAACTTTGGTGTGTGGAGAAGTCGAATAACCTGTAAACTTGTGTGCACATGTCTACACAGATCACCTGGAAGATATGCATTAATTATGGCATAACCATGAAAAACAACATCATTAGCATACGTACATATAGAGTTACATATACATACAGTGTAGTGTACACCGAAACATAGAAGAGGCAAGTCGACATAAGCTAAATAAAGCAATTCGAGCCACAGGTGCAAATAAACCAATATGTATATAGTATGTATGTGTATGCACTCAGACATAGATGTGAATGTGGATCTCAATGTGACTAGGCAGACACATACAATCATGAACTCGCATGTGCATATTATTAAACACAATACATGTAAATCTGCATATGACAACACAAATGCGTATAAATGCAAACATAATACGGTCATAGATATAAGTGTAAATACAACCATAACGACTCATAACGACACATACGACATGAAGGTAAGCACAACGGTACGTCAAATCATTGGAGAGAAGGCTGTGCACGCATGCTATGTGTATACACCTACATGTACATATGGCTTCCGATAGGTGAAATCAACATGGCTCTGACTCATAATCTGCTTTATTGATGCTTCACAGAATCTACGACCCCAGACCAAGCCGAGTCGCCTAGACCTCAAAGCGCCGCAACCCCGAAACCTTAATCTGGACCCTGCCTTGTCAAGCAGGAAATCCCGCATTGCCCGAGGTATTTCGCGAAGTGTCTCAGCGAAGGCAGCTGAAGGCGAGCCGACCTGGAGTCATGGTTTAATTAGTGGTTTCATGCTGTTGAAGTTGTTGCGGAGACTCGATGTTAAAGTTGTTGTTCAACTAGAGGAACTTCTTCAAACGCCGAAGGTAACTACCCGGGGAGAAGAGCTTACGTACGCAAATCAGAACATAGGGGTTGAGGCTTGTGGCATTAGACTTCACATGTCAACCTTGAGCAGGCTTCGCCGCCCTTGATAACAATAATTACTCTCGATGCCCGCATTAGACGCTGCTAATCTGGAGTCGCCTATGCTATGCTATGGCCTGTTTGTGATACAACGTGACATTCGCGAACGACATGAGGGTCAAGATGACTGTGCGGCCCAAAGTTGCGCATAAACGAGTTGCACAAGTCAATGGTCCATGGGCAGCAGCCAGTCAACACACAAGTGCGTCACACGAGCAATACCGAACGTCCCATTTCGAATGATTGAGTCTTGGACATTTACATGTTTCATCCTATCTCCATTTGGGCTTCTCCTGCCACCGTTGTTTTTTCCTGTTTTCGCAGGCTTCGACAACCGCAACATATGCCACTGTCAGCTCTACGATGCGCTTCGTGCTGGCCTTGCGGCCAGCATCAACCGACTCAGTGGTAGTACTAGTAAAAACGGCTTTACCAAAAATAGTAATCCTGGAAGTAATCGTAAAAGCAACAAAGTTGTAGCAATAGTAATACTAGCAAAAATACGATAACAGTAATAGTCGAAGAATACCATTAATAGTATAATAGTTATAGTATGCTATTGTTACAAGTGATAACATAACAGCATGCTAGTAATCATCTTATAGTAATTATTAGAGTAGCAATAGTAATAATAGTAATAGTAATAGTAATAGTAATAGTAATAGTAATAGTAATAGTCATGATCATAGTAATAGTCATAGTAATCTCTGAAAACCCCATCAACAAACTTTTTTCCAGTTCAAGAGTACTTTCCCAAACAATCAACTAAAAAAAAATCGCAAACTCAGAAAAATTCCAATCAAACAAAACTTTCTGTAGCTGTTTACAAGCAAACTATACACATCCGAAGACTTCCTCCTCATTAAAGAAATCTTACTCACAGAAAGCGGTATTGCTATTCCGACGAATAGTAATAATAGTAGTAGCACTAGTAGTAGTAGGAGAAGAAGACGTAGTAGTAGTAGTAGTAGTAGTAGTAGTAGAAAAAATGACAGTAGCAGTAATAGCAGTAGTAGTAGTAGTGGTAGTAGTAGTAGTAGTAGTAGTAGTAGTAGTGGTAGTAGTACAAAAAATGACAGTAGCAGTAATAGCAGTAGTAGTAGTAGTAGTAGTAGTAGTAGTGGTAGTAGTAGTACTTGTACTAGTATCAGTACTAGTACTAGTACTAGTACTAGTACTAATACTAGTACAGTAGTAGCAATACTAGTAGTAGTACTAGTAGCAGTAGTAGTAGTCGTCGTCGTCGTCCTCGTCGTAGTAGTAGTAGTTGTTGTTGTTGTAGTAGTAGTAGTAGTATCAGTAGTAGTAGTGTAGTAGTAGTAGTAGTAGTAGTAGTAGTAGTAGTAGTGGTAGTAGTAGTATCAGTAGTAGTAGCCGTAGTTGTCGCAGTTGTAGTAGAAGTAGCAGTAGCAGTAGCAGCAGCAGTAGCAGTAGCAGTAGCAGTAGCAGTAGCAGTAGCAGCAGCCGTAGCCGTAGCCGTAGCTGTAGCCGTAGCCGTAGCCGTAGCAGTAGCAGTAGCAGTAGCAGCAGCAGTAGCAGTAGCAGTAGCAGTAGCAGTAGCAGTAGCAGTAGCAGTAAGCAGTAGCAGCAGTAGCAGCAGCAGCAGCAGCCGGAGCAGGAGGAGGGTCATAGATTAGTAACACGTGTGCTTGCTGCTGTTCCTGAACGCCATGAGTTTGACAATGTCATTGTCCACCATGGCCATTGTCTTGGCCTCGGGTGTTGCTTCCCTGTGGAAATTGTGCTTATCTTCATGCAGTGGCCTTGGATCCGGCATTTGAGGTCATGTTTGCATGCAGCACTGGTGAGTTAACATCAACATCGGACGACGCAGAAGATGCAAGTCATTGCTTGATGCAGGCAAGTTCGTGTATCTTGCCGAAGCCGAATGATAAAGTGGCATGATGTTGGATCCAATGATGTCGTTTAGCTGTAATGCGATCAACAGCTCTAGGTTGTGATCCTATGCGGCAGGTGCAGAAGAAGAACAGCTCTCTCGCCGCGAGCTTGACAACGACATAGATGATGTCCATTCCGATTGGATTGTCAGCTTAAGGGGCACCAAGCTGTTGCAACCGGCCTTTGTCGGAGCGCAGTGCTTATATCCTCCCTCGTTTGCGTGTGTGTGGCTGTCCATCATAGCATATTGTGTTGCATCTTTTGCTTCAGATTGCAGCTTCATTTCACCAGCGCAGATTGCCGGGTGCTTATTGCCGCCAAAGCGGACGAATCATTGTAAGTTGGTTGGCTTGTGCAGCTAGTACAATGCTAAGGCCCCATTGACCCGCGCACGCGCAGAAAGCCTTCTGCAAGGCTTTGTATTGAGTCGTTTGCAGTTTCATTGACGTCTGCAGTTGTCATGCATGGTGTGCTAGAGGCATGGCGCAGAAAGCCAAGCGCGTGGCAGGCTTCGTGGTTGACGATGTAGTATTGCTGTAGCATGAACACCCCGTGCATTTTGCGGCACATGAATTGCAGGTCAGGTGTCGGTCGGCAAGCGCATCGTGTTCACAGCCAGCGTGTTGCGTCCTTGTGATGATCTGCATGCGCTTCTGCGTGGCTTGTGGACAGCGCATGATGCCAGTGGAAACTCAGGATAATCGCCATTGTCGTCCATGACTCAACAAGAAGGGAGGTTACTGCGTTTTGTTAAACAGAGCTGTTATTGCGGAGCTTGTCGATGTGAAGAGGCCGTGGCAGCTTGGATCACGTTGCTGCATCACATCTCGGCCAAAGCCAATTCAGGACCAGTAGACGATAAAGTTACTTACAGCGCTTGACAATTGTTAACAAAACATGCAGGAATCCGGTCGTCGGGTCTCACGTCTCCTGATTCGACAGTTTTCTCAGTAGAAACATCTGTGGCGAGAATAGCAGCCAGATTCGCGCCGCCAGAAGAGCCTCTAAAAGTGAGAGGGCACGTCTTCGAGTGGCCACAGACCGAGGACGTGTGACATGTGCATGGAGCAAGGCGTCCCCTGCAACACATGAGATTTTGGTGCCGCAGCCACCTCATGGTTTAATGAAACTGTGGCGAGAAGAACTGCAGCCCGCAACTCAGTTTATTGTAAGATCGACCTGCGACAAAGGAAAGAAGGGTTGTCCTCCGCAGGCCACACGATCTATACTTGATGACCGCGTAAAACACTTGAGATGCATTGTTTGCTCGTGAGGCCCTCAGTGCCCTCAGTGCTCTTATGCGTACTGTTGCTGACATCAGAGAGCTGATGGCTGTTTGCACCAGATATACTTCAGGGGGCCACCGGACTGACCTTGGGCCTCCTCAGCGTTCGTGTGACATGGACCTGGGAGACGGAGGTGCTCGGAAGGGAAGGCAGCCTTGCACCAAAGAAGCGGGTGCCGTTTCCAGAGGCTTCTTCGCTTTACTCAGCTCTGCCGGCTGATGACAGCTTCTTCCTCTTGCAGGCCAGTGGAAGCAGGGCAGGCCGCACTTGAGCAAGGCTGAAGTTTCGTGTGGCTGTCAGGTGAGTGGCACCAAGAGGGCCAGCGGCCCTGGAAAATTTGCTTTGCCACGGGCGATATGCCTCTGGAGGTGCATTAGTGGTGCATGTCTAACCGAGGTTGCTGGACAAGGAAATGCCTCGAAATCAGCCCGGAAGCGCTCAACTTCGCCAGGCCAAGGCTGGGAGCTTTGCGAGCTCAGAATCAGATTCCTGGGCCGCAGATAGCAGCTCTGCCGTGACGCAAGCACTGGCCAGGGGCTGAGCATGGATCTAACTGTAGCACCTTGGTAAAAGGTCCCGGCCCCCAAGAATAACCCACCGCTCTACAGAGTCATCGGCGCCACCAGTGTTTTCGTCGTCTTCTCTCGTAAGTGTAACACTGTCTTCGCCGCCCGGATTCGCAGAATGGGTTTAGAGTACTTTTTTTGGTTCCAGCTGCGCTGCACTGTACAGTTTAAGTTAAAGGCCGAGACCAACCACACAGTGGTGATGCCTGCGGGTGGGGACCGAAGAGATGCAGGCCGTTCCCTTTCGGCAGCACAGTGAACGGCGGTCCTTCCACATGGTGATGCCAGGACAACCGTGGCCGCTGTCGTTGCTGAGTATCTTGGACTCTTAGCGATGGTACATAGTCTCCCTCTTTCATGGACTGGTCTTTCTTAATGCGGGCAATGCAAGCTCGAGGTATCTCTTTGTGCAGAGTCGTCGAAGAAGTCACAGGTCAGGGAGCCAAGCGGAGCATGTCATGCAGAGATTAAGAAAGAGCTGAAGGATTGAAGTTGGCAAGTTGTTTTGATGCGAAGTCAAGCCTCTGTAGAGTGCAGGAGTTTTGCTTGCAGGTCATCAAGTTCCTACCAAAGAAGGCATGATGTTTACTGCTTGCATGTGCCATCCTCAGACTTCGTTGGACTGGACCCTGGCATGAGTTGCCCGATGCTTGCCAAGGATAGCTGCCATTATTGCCCTGGGCCTAGTTTCATGACAGACCCCACGAAAGCAAAACTGTCATGCAGGAGGTGTGCAACTATTCCACTATGGCATGGAGAAAGTTTGAACAAGCGCTTTCATCGCACCTGCATTCATTCCCGGTGCATCCTCTCAAGCTGAGGTGTTGTCTGTGTGCATTGCTCTGCTGCATCAGAGTTCTGCAAGGGACACGCGAGGCAGTCGAATTCCTGCAGGAGACCTGTGCAAGCGGGAGTTGGATCTTTCTTTGACTGCCGGGGGGTGGGGGGGGCATCCCTGCTTTCTCTCGGATCGTCGGCTCGAAAAAACCCATGGTGGTGATTCGTGGCAGGAGGGATACCTGGAGCTGTCGAGGAAACCGTACGCGACCTCCAGGATCAAATGGAGGAAACTTTCACTCCAGGCAGGGTGTTCTTTGCCGTGGCAACCACGCCTGCTTGTGGTTGGAACAGCGTGGCGAGGACTGAAAAAGCCACGGCCTGCGTGTTGCTGAATTAGCGGCTCGGAGTAGGTGACGCCTAAGGCGTCGCACTTGGCAGACGACCAAGAGACGCTCAAGCCTCGTCCAGAGGAAGTCTGCAAAGGAAATGCAGATGTGGAAGCAGTTTTCCCCTGGACACCTCCTGATGGTCTGGCATCATCTCCGGCATAGCTTGAAGAGCCAGGCCATATTGATTGAGCAAAGTCTAGGGCCGATCCTTATTGAGCGCTATCTGCCCACATTGGGCCAATGAATGGCGAGTGTTTCGGAACCCACTCACGCAAATCATGTCTACATTTGTAGTGGCTTCTGGCTTCAGTCGACAGCTAGCAGACCTAGCAGGAAGAGTGGGTGCTTTCTCGGAGGCACTTTTCCCTGTTCACGTATGTGAGAAAGCAGGGATGGTCGGTCGCGCGGCTTGAAAACGGATCATCCCAGAATCTTATGCTGCACTTCTCTTGTGCTGCAGAAAGCTGGAGACGGGCTTTTGTCACCTTTGCTGTGGATTTCGGTTTGCTTGCATTGGTCCACAAGATGAGGGGTGCTGAGCCCCGTTTCTCCTTCGTCACCGTACCGTTGGGAGCTCAAGACAAGAAAGTCCGGACCTCATCCTTCCGTTGTTTCGCTGTGGAAGGGTGCAGCTTGGCTCGCCGTGGAGCTGCATGAGGGTTGTGCTTGCGAATTAGGTCGGATGGTCGGATGGAACGCTGCATGTTCTTGGCGGCTGCCTGGTTCTTATCGCTTGACCGCTTTGGCTCCTGTGGTCGGGGTGCTTCAGGCGAGGCATGTAACAAAACGGAAGAGTCTTCCGAAGATGTCGGAAGCCTGAGTTCCAGACCACAGACCTTTGCCGAGGTCTTCTTTAGTTTCATCGCGCAGGCTGAGAGACAGGCGCCGATCCAAGCTGTAAGATGACGCGAAACTAAGCAGTCCGGAGTCCAGCATGCAATGAAACGAGGCTCAATTTGATGTTTCTTCGGCCCAGGTAGCACGTGACAGCGTGGACGGCCTGGACGAGGACCAGCACCGTTTTGGACAAGCACCCTTTGCATCTACAGCCCGCCGACTTTCCTGAAGGAGTGCGACATCCTGCTATTGCAGACAGTCTTTGCCGTAGCAAACGCTTCGAAGCAAACGCTGTCCCTCACCGAGATGTGGATTTGCGTGCCCCTGTGTTTCTGGATCATGTTTGTGTCAACTCGGCTTATCGTTCTTGGCTGTTGCTCAGTAGCACCTCGCATGAGTGAGGTCCTCCGAACTTGGACCGGACGCTTTGCCCAAGGACCTCAAGTAGGCACACTACTCAACACTGCCTGCGCTGCACTTCCTGGTTTGGAATCAGGAGCGTGATTCGAGATCGTTCAGTCTTCTTTCTGTATTGTCGCTCGAGGCCAGGAGGGACGAGGGACGAAGTCTGTAAACTGGCTCGCCTTGGTCGGACAGCTGCTAGCAAGCACCGGTGGCCGAGCTGTGCAAAGTGCAAAGACGATCCACAGCTGTTCAGAAAGAGGACGCTGGTAGGGGCCGGTGGGGCTGAAAGGTTCTGGGACACCTCTGAGCTTTCCGCCTTCTCACTAGGAGAGGCACAGGTCGCAGGATGGACGTGGATGGAAAGGGAGACCTTTCAGGCCGACGAGCTTTTCGTCGCCACGAACGATGGCTTAGCCAAGAACATCCAAGAACCAAACCTTCCATGCCGTCGTCAGAAGCTTGCCTCAGCAGCTTTAGACTTTAGACTTTGTGAGCTTCTGTGTCGAGATTCGCAGAGCTCGTCCTCAGCTGATGGACCGCCGAGTTCCTGCAAAGAGCGCACTGCACGTCAAGAAGTTGCTAAGATGCTTCTGATATCGGTGCAAAGCGCAGGTAGAAAAAAATGCGAGTTCGTCTTCGAACCTCACGGCCGAAAGCCCAGCGACCGTGAGTGTGCAATGTCTTCTTGCGTTTTCCCGTGTTCCTCCTGTCGCAGATGACGGGAAGTCTCTCCGCTCGCTGTCGTGTTTCAAGTCTTCACTGACTTCGACATGGAAGGGACACGAGAACCAGGAATCAGGACAGAAGCTTAGACTGACACAGTGAACCGGCAGAGGAACAAGATGCCAGCAGAACTGTCAGGATACGAGACTTGCAACTCGTTCGGAAACGGAAAGGCCTAACTAGCCTAAAAGCTGCACAGGCTTCATCAAAACCATTGGGCAGTTTCTGACCAAACATGTAAACTGCTTGTGTTGCTTCCATCCGCAAACGATGTAGGTGTCAAGAGCGATCGCGGCAGTTCTTGCATCAACAACGGAAAGTAACGAAGTTTCGGCTCTGGTGATTCTGTACACTGGTACAACGCAGAAGTGTCAGGGAACACTCAACCCACCGAACAATCGGTGCTTGTTCATGGGCTCTAGGATTCAAAACAGCATTTGGTTGTCACTCGGAGAAAACGCGATCCGGCTCCGTGAATGGGGCCAGAGCGTTCCAGGTGATGCTGTTGGTGGCGCTGGCCATGGTCTTCATCATTCCTTTGATTGTTTATCTGCTTTCAGAGCCTTGTCCAGCAGCCAGACTAAGCCATGCGAAAGGTCTTCCAAGTCTCTTTATGGGTGTCCTTGCTTTCAACGTGTTGGAGCACTGACAGGCTCCCCATGAGCTGTAACTAAATCTACTTCTCCCGACTCAGGACTCAAGCCAGGGCCTCGTGCCTCATCGTGCCTCGTTGCCCAGTCGAGAGCTCCCCTGCACCGTTGCGTCTCGAAGGCTCCTACTTAGAAGGGCCAGGAGGTAAACTCCTGGAGCGGGGGAGTTTGGGACCGAGACGCGAGGCGCAGACGCATCGCGACGCCACCCAAACTTCTCAGTGCCCCTGGCTCCAGGCTCCAAGGATATCCTCCGTGCGAGGCGGTGGATCAGCGTCATGCGGTGGCAACCGAACCTTGCTTTTGTGCATTCTTGGCACGGGGTAGGCTCGGAGCCGCGTTTATCGATACAAGCCTCACAGGCCAGGATGGACTCCCATGCTCTGGCAGATTGAACAAGTGTTTGAGATTTGTTCAGGCACTTGCAATGCCTCCTACAGCTTTGGCACGTCCTCGTCCAGATGAAGATCCTCCAAAGCTTTGTGGAGCACTGAGCTCTTAAGCGTCTGCGGTGCTGTGCCGGGCACGATTTCCACAGCTCCACATAATTGCCCTCTTTACATGCAAGTTGTTGCGAAACAACCATCTTCGTGCTGATATGCACGGCATCCAAGCACAATGCGGTCGCTTTAGCCACCTCAGAGCCCAACCGTGGTCGTGACGGAGAATTGCTGTTCCCAACGTGCTGCTGAAGACGACTTTCAAGTTGAGGCATCATGTGGGACAGGACTATTGCCGAGCAGACAAATCAGACCGTCTCGATATCGCAGCCTGTTTGGATTTCCCTTGCAAGCGGGAATGTGGCAAAGTTCATCACAGCAGTCGTCTGTCGTGAACTCCTTTAATCACGACCGAAGGCAATGAATGTAGGTGCAAGCTTGGGAAGTAATGCTCTTGAAGATAGGTGGTGCGTCTGAGTCACTGTGCTCTCATCGTCATGTCGTGGTGTGTCAGGAGCCTTGGGTTGCGTTATTTGCGGCCTTTGTGTCTTTCTGTTGCCGGTTGCGCCTGTACTGAGTTTGTATAAAATCGCAAGATGCGGCGTCCATCGCAGTGGGGTCATCCGCTTCGGCTTGCTAGCTGTTGCTCCGCGGCGTTGTCGGTCAGCTTGGAATCCCTAGCAGCTTCATCGTCTCCGCTTGCACATGCTTACAGCTCCCCTCGAGAGGTTTGCGCGTGTTGAACCACGGATGCCTCGTCTTCTTGACGAATCTTTTGCAAAGAGACACTTGTGCGCATCCAACCCTGTTGCTCGTGTCTTCTCTCTTAGCTGACAAAGTTATCTTAGATCTTCTGGACACTGATAGAATAGAAGCACAGGCTTTTTGTTTCGAGACAAACCTGGAACAGTGCCACCGAACGAGCAATCACCGTCAGCAGTACAGTGAACTGCGTTGTCCAACCGCCGTGCCGAGAGCTTTGCTCATTCACAGAGACATGGAATGCAAGAGAATACAGGTGCGGAGGAACATGAGCAGAGAGAAGACTTGTCCACGACAGTCTCTGAATAGTAGAACCGGCCACTATCCCTATACTTCGTCTTGCGTGCACCCGATTGTCGTTCGTCGGACATGATGATCCGACGCTGATCAGACATACCTGACAAAGCTACTCCAAGGTGAGAATCTTATTTTGCCGAAGCACCTCGCCATCTTCCTTGTCGATGCAGAGAGTTGTGGGCTCAGTCGTTTTTGCCTGGCACTGCCCAGTGCGTTCTGCATTTTGTAGTACTTGGGGGCTTGGCACGTGCGACTTGTGTGTTGTGAACGGTGGGAACAGTGTCTGAAAGAGAATCCCACCCTCAGGTCTCTTGAACATTTTCTTGGTAAGGTGTTTTGATAAGCCTGAGTCATAAGATTGTCTACGCTTCAGCAAGAAAAAGGACGGATCACATGTACCGGCCGCAGGGCCTCCATGAATGTAGGGTTCAACACGTAGTCAGGGAGTTCCCCATGCAAGGTTCCTGAAAAGTGTTAATACCTGCTAGGAGCAAGAGTCTGGAGACGTCTGCCTCGGACGACACAGATTTTCTTTCCAAGGTTTTGTTTCGGGGGGGTGGGGACTGCAGTTGCCAGGGCCCTGATGGCCCGGACCCCAAAACCTGGGAACAGTTTTGGGCCGAACCTTCGACCGAAGGGCTTCGCCACTGGGAGTCGGCAGCCACACCCATCCACCACGCAGAAAGAGTGTCTGCTTGGGATAGTTTGATTTCCGCTGAGGATTGAAGAATCCTGGCTTTGGGCCCTTTCCCATCTGGGGCGGCTCAGGCGGCAGAAGTTGAGCCAGACCGCAGAAAGCCTCTTCGTGTTGTCGCAGGCAAGCAGCTTCTCCAGGCCGACTTGCAGGCAGACTGCTTGCGCCTTCGTCTTGTTGCTTTTTCAATCCGTGGTGTGCAGAGGACCGCGGACCTGAGGGAGTGCAACTTTGGATTTGGCCAGTGAACCTGGACTCTCCGGCGGCAGTTGTTCTTCAAAGGAGGCCGCAGCAGAACCACTTGCTTGCTCGCTGACGTTATCCCCCCAAGTCGCTGTAGCCTATATACTATACGCCGAACAACACCGCAGGTCTTCCATGCAGTCTGGCCTGGAGATCTACAATCGCGACAACCAGCTTGGAGCCTATTTACTTTAGGCCCTCCAATTCGAGTTTCGTTCGGTCTGAGGTTGTACGGGTTGCTGGAGAACGCCGGCGGCCGGATGATGCTGCAGCATGCTCGGTTTAACCATCCTGTCTGAAGTTGGCACCACCAAGGCACCCTCAACCCACGATCTCAATCCCAAGACAACGTCCCAAGACCAATGGTTGGAGACAGTAAAGTAATACAGGTTCCTGCACGTGCTGCGCATCTAGACACGCAAGATCACATCCAATTCAATTCAATCTCCAATTTGCGGCGCAATGTCAGCCCCAAGGATGTGCAACGGCTTTCCAGTCATGGCCGTGGATGGGAACGCTGATGCGTGCACTCCCCAAGAAGCCACGCCGTTCCAGCTGACAGTGCTTAAGTGTGCGGAAACACGCGATGCTCAGGCTCACCTACACTGCTTGCCGAGTAAATGGCAGCATGTTGGCGTCTGCAAGCGTTGTTTCAGAAAATTTGCGTGGGGCCTAGTCGGGCTGTATCGCAACGATGTTTGAACTATCACAGTATTGCAGTTGATTGCAGCCAGCTCTGAGGCGTGTTGACGATGTGCGCGAGGGTTGGAAGCTGCAGGTGAAGCCAGGTGGGCCATGCATTGCTTGAGTAGTTGCAGCAACCTCGCACGCATGGGCGGTGATCAATCCGACGTTGGCAACTGGTACAGGTGTGGATGCTATTGTCATCATGTGTGCCTTCCTGTCATCCATTCTGCTCAACCGACGTTCAGGGTGGACGCGCCATGAGTTCCACTTGCATTGCAAGCTCGAAAACGTGTGCCGAAGTTCAGAAGCGATCTTCTTCCCATGCCAGGACATTCACACCATCTCTGCCTTCGGCCAGCCCACGAGTGTCCATACTTTCCCAAGCCTTGGGCTTTGAAGTGGTGCATCGGCCGAGTAAGCAGGCATTCAGAGCTGGAGTGGTCCTCAGGCGAGTCATCCTCGGGCCTGACAGCGAGTAGCGCGCCCTGAGCCCGAGATTGCATGCATGCGAGACGCAGAAAAGACGAGCGGTTCATGCGCTTGCGAGATGAATTGGGATCTGAGCTGGATGCCGCAAGAAGCTTCTTTGCGCAGCCATGAAATCAGCAGTCTCGAGAAGCGCCATGACTTCAAGGAGGCTGCCAGCATGGATTTCGATTACGCTCTTGAGGTGTACCAGCGGACTTCTCAACATCACTTTCATCAACGATCTCGATGTGGACTGCAGCTTGTTTTGGCACGGCACGAATGCGGGCCCACGCAAGGACTTCGGACCGGTTCCTCGTGGGGGCGGCCGGAAGGTCTTGGAGGTTGCAGAAGGTCACCTCTTCACGTTCGCCCCTGCCTGAGACGCTCTCGGCCGCCACTTTGCATTCCGCTTTGTGTGCCTGTCGGCCTGTCGGGAACTTGAAGCTGAGGCCCGTGCCGGCACACTGCTTCCTTTGCTTCGGATTACGATTGACCCGGAATCTCGGAGCTACGTCATCAACCAAGAAAATGCGGCTCCACCGGCTGCTTGCGCCGCTTCCACTGCTGATGCCACTCCCGGCTCGCTACGCTGCTCAGCGGCCAAAGCCTGCGACGAGTGCGTGCAACTACCGGGCTGCGGCTGGAGCACGGTGCGTCACGGGTGGTTGCCTCAAAACTCAGCAGTGTGTGAACTCCGCTAGTGGTATAGGTCTAGGTCCTAGGTGAGCGCAGAAGCTCTGGAGCTCAGGTGTGTCGCAGCTCACGCCGTAGCAACGACCCGGACCTGTTTGGAGAGAGTGGAAGAGGAGGAAAGGTCTGCGGAGCAATGGCTGCAGTTGGCAGAGGCCTTGATGGATCCCGAGACCTCGGAGTTTGAAGGCCTGGCATCCCTAAGAGCCGCTTTCGAAGCTCTCGAGAACGGGAGACGGGTGGCAGAAAGCGCAGACAGCGAAGGAAGCAATGGCACCTTGAAGTCGATCTTGCGCTGGCAAGCAGAAGTGAGGCCCAAGCTGGAAGCTGTTCTGGACGATCTGGATGCCGAAAAGCTGATTGCGACCTCTCGGCATGCATCCCTCGCGTCCCTGAAGCCTCGCATGGTCGCACGGCGGAAGTTGGCCGATGCCATGGACTTCATCTCTCGTGCAGAGCCGGTGGTCATCACGGATCTCTTCGACGGCAACTTGAGCCACCCTGTAGTGCAGAAGTGGACGCTGGAATACCTCCGCCGGTTCATGCATGGAGGTTTTTACAACGTAGCTGCAGATGCAGCGAGGGCTTGTTGTCAATACTATGAGCCGCGCCGCATTGCAGCCGAGGCAGGATATCCGTACCCATTCCGGCCCAGGACGCACCTCTATCGGGATCATTTCGAGGGCTTCGTGGGAACTCTGCGAGAGTCTCCTTCAGAGACAGAGCCGCGATTGCACTACCTGCACGATATCCTGATGGAACGAGACGCTGCTCCTGTAGTCGCCGGCGAAGCGGCGACACCGCAGATCGCCGCAGATCTAGAAGAAATGGTCACAGCTTTGAAACCGCTGGCAAGAATGCAGCCTTTCTTCGGAGGGGTTGCCAATGCCAAGTTGTGGATTGGCCAAAAGGGCGTGACCATGCCTTTGCACTATGACTCCACGGACAACCTGTACGTCATGGCTTGGGGCAGGAAGAGAGCGATTCTTGCAGACCCTGGACAATACGAGGCCTTGTATCCTTATCCCAATGCACATCCCCTCGCCGGAAGCTCGCAAGTCAACCTGAGCAACCCAGATCTGGCGCGGCACCCTGGTTTCGTTGATGTCCTTCTGACAGAGACAGTGGTGGGGCCTGGCGACGTCTTGTACTTGCCCGGATACTGGTGGCATCAGTTTGAACAGCCTTTTGAGGACATCCGATAATTCAAGTAACTTCTGTAAGATGATATAAGCGGTTAAAGTCTGTGCAGGACACGGCCTCCGTAAATCTTTGGTCCTACGAGCTCAGCGCCGCGCCGCCGGCCAGCATGCGCGATGCACGATTGCGTGGCAGTGCGCTGCACGACCACATGGAGAGGGAGATGGTGAAGGCCTTCAAGAGCAAGGTGCCGGCCGTGTGACCCCCACAACGACAGAGACTAGATTCGTTTCGATGTAGATAAGAGTGTTGGCGAAGAGGGCAGAGAGCATGGTCAGCATGATAAAGTTTCAGAGCCTGCAGGCGGGCGTGGTGTTGTCAGCAATGGCTTCAGGAAGTGGAACTCACAAGAAAGCATGGGTGCGAGCAAATCGCACGCTTCACGAAGCAGCCCAGGAGTGGAGAAGGTGGATGGCGAGTCTGCCAAATGTTGCAGACACCGCAGAGCCCTCCGAACTTGTCAAGGACTTCCTTCAGAGGTATCGTGGCATCCTTGCGCAGCGCTGGCCCGATTGGGCCCCAGGGGTCGAGTGGAACCTCTCCGAAATGACTGCCCTGGAGGCACGTCTGGAGGCCCGCTGTGAGCCTGCACCAAAAACTGCGACCTACGCCAGCGTGTGCAGACGCTCGGCCTTTTCATGCTTCCGTGTGTGTGTGTTTTTTCCTTTTTTCCGCACTCCACGGTCCCTCTGTGCACTCTGTGCTGGAGCCAGGATGGCCACAATCGCGATAGCGACTCCTTGCCAGAGACTGACTTGGCCCGTCGGGAGCCAGGATGGCCACAATCGCGACAGCGACTCCTTGCCAGAGACTGACTTGGCCCGTGGACAGCGGAAGCAGTGAAGTGTCATGAAGTATCGCTATTCTTACGGTCTTCCAGAGACATGCACAGCCAGTCAGCGGTCGCGATCTTCGCCGACGACAAAGCGGCACATGGACATGGTGCGTTGCATGCACCACTGTAATCGCAGCCACACAACATGGAGAGGACCTCGAGGGAGTCGAGTCGGGAAGCCCGGCTGAGACGTGATCAGGAAGATCCACGACTAAGTTCGTCGAGTTTCTGGAGGCGGGAAGTGGTGGGAAGCTGGGCGAGCAGATTCTCCAAGAGAGGACTCGATGTGAGACGGCTGAGATGGCCGCTTCCACCCGAGTACTCCGATTCGCACAGGTGCAAGTGAGGCAAGAGTGCCGCGTTTTGCGCTGCAGCAGGGAAAATTCGCTGTCCGAACCTTAAAACCCGATTCTTTGATGGTCCACTCTCGTTTAGCTGATCTAAGCGGTGGCACTCGTGAAAGTCGGGGAACCTTCTTTCTTCTACACTGTGGCACATTTTGTGCAAACATTATTGTCCATCATTGTACCCGAATTTTGCGGCTTGCTTTCTGTCTGTGTTGCTCGTCGCTGCCTCAGGCCTATTGCGTATTGCGCAGCACACACTCTCTGAGACTCTGAGGTGTGGGCCTTCAGGCTCTGTGATTGTCGTTGCTGCTATGCTGCAGGAGCCATTCGTTAGCCCTTGAGGAGATTGGCTTGCAGTGCAGTAGCAGCAGGCGTGTTTCATGAAAGTAAAGCCCTAGCGCAACCCTTGCTGTGCCTATGTAGTTATTCAGGTCCCGATGAAGTGCAGCATGAAGACAGATATGCACCCAGCTAACACATGCAGCCTGTGTTTCGCTCTCGCGCAATGATCGTACTGGTAGGATATTCGGCAAGACAACTTCA